TTTCCTTGGTTGTGTGGAGATTCAAACCTTGATCTCCAGGGTCAAAGACCAACATTCAAACCGCTACACTACACTGGCTGTCGCATCTCAGTCTATCTTGTCATAAAAAACCCAGACACTGTCATGGCACCCTCTTATTCTGGAAATTTCACCTCCAGATCTGTCTTTGGAGACAGTGAAACTAAAAAAAAAAAAAAAACAACAACAAGGAAATGCAAGCAGCAGATTCATTTCATTAACTCACCCACAAGAATTGACCCTTACAATTACACAGTGGCCAGAATTAAGTGGAAATGAAGTTGCCCAAAGCCCGATATGGGCAACTGCATAGGGGCCAGGGGAAATCCCATCCCCCACGGATTCTCTCTTGCAGGCTGCATTTCTCCAAAGCAAGTCCAAATATCCCCATTTTACTCAGCAGCCCCTCTCAAAATGATCACAGGAAGTAATGTAGCATCACTTTCTATTGTAATTTTGAGTAGAAGTGGGTATTTAGGGGTAGTATGTATTCTATGGTGATTGTAGGAATATGGAAAGGGGTTTTTTTTACATGTTTTCACACTCTGGGGGTCTTTCTGCATGGTTTGGGGGCAAAAAAAGTCTGAAATTGTAGTAAAGGTATTTTTAGAAAAGAGGGCTGAAGCACTTTGGCAGACTGTGAAGGCCTTCAGGGACCCCCAAAAGGGACCCAAAGAATACAGGCTGCCTGTGGGTCACATTGTGTCCTCAGCTGCCACAGGTCCCCTGGACAATCTTACAGTATTCTGACTGAATTGGTGATGTACCAGAGAATAATAGTGCACGTGGTCAGATAGAAAGTGGGAAGGCTCAGGTTCTGAAAAACCAAGTCCTCTGAGGAGCATTTTAAAGACCTGTTTATGTTTAATGCAGAAAATAGAAAGTACAGTTGATCCTCCATATCCACGGATTTATTATCCACAGATTCAAACATCCACAGCTTGAAAATATTTTTGTAAAAGTATAAATTCCAAATAGCAAATCTTGATTTTGCCAGCTTGTGCAAGGGACACAATTTTGCTATGCCATTGTATATAATGGGACTTGAGCATCCATGGATTTTGGTATCCACAGAGAGTTCTGGAACTGAACCCCAGCAGGTGACGAGGGCCCACTGTAAAGGCAAAAAAATACAATCACTGGAGGACTGCCAAACAAAAGGAACCAAGTTGTTCCCTCTTGCTGTAGAGGTCAGGACTGGGATCGGTGGATAGAAACTGAAGGGAAGTATGTTTTGACTAGGAATAAGAACTTGTCCACAGTGGAACGGAATGCCTTGGGAAAGGAGGATCTCACCTTCACTGGAGATAATTAAGCAGAGTCTCATCAACCATCTGTCAAGGATGTTGCTGTTTCAAGACTGAACACAGAGTTGGACTAGATAACCTCCAACTTTTGCAACTCTAACTGGATAAGCTTGGGTGAGTCAGTGTCTTTCAGCTGAACTTGCCTCACAGGGTTGCTACGAGGGCAAAACTAGGGGGGGGGGATAATGTATTTGCCACTTTGAGTTTAAAGGGAGAAAACTGAAATTAAAATATAATAAAATAAGTAATAATGATAATAATAAATTTTATTTATATCCAGCCCTTCTGTCAAGCAATTGGAGCGGCTCACAGCAGTTTACAACTTCATACAATATTAAAATACAATCTGAAATCCCACAACCCTCCCACCCCTTAAAAGAGAATTAAACTAATTTTAACATTAAAACAAGTAATAGCTAGTTCAGCCCTAAACACAGCAAGCAGTTCCTTTTACTTCACTCCTCCCATCTCCAGTGTGAGCATGACACTCACCTGCCTTTCAGGACTGCTTATAAAGACTATAGCAGCAATGGGTTTGTTAGATCATAAACCTACTGTCTCATGGTTATGACAGATATTTGTGAAATACTCTGGGATGCTTTTTCAGTAGAAAAATGGGATGTAAAATGCTTCATACAAAAATAAAGAATTAAAACTATGAGCATTCAAGAGTACTATGGAAATATCCAGTTTTTCAAAATAAAAAATAAAATTCAGTTCCATGGAAAAACTTTCTGACACCTTCAGACTCTGTAATGGACAAAGGAAACCACACATCTTTTTGAAAGACTGGTCAATTTTTATTGACTACATCAGGGGTAGACAACCTTTCCCCTTTAAGGGCTGAGGGACTTCAGCTCCCAGAAGCCTCAGCCATGTTGGCCAATACTCCCATGTTGGCCGATAGCTCCTGGGATTCTGGGAGCTGAAGTCCCTCGGCCCTTAAAGGGGAAAGGTTGCCTACCCCTGGACTACATTAACAACAACTCCCCTGACATTGGACCTCCTACCCACCAGATTACCTTATGGAAGGACACTCTACCAGGGGGTATTGTAAAGTTTTAATCACCTTTAAAAAAATTTGACAGAAAGTTTGTTTTGACTTGTAGTTGTTAACTTATCTCTATATAGTCACCATCCAGATTTACACATTTTTCCCAGCATTTCTTGACCCTCCAAATACTGTTATTATAGAAGTCTGCAGATTGCACCTTAAACCACTCTTCCACTTCATGAATGGCATCATCTGTGTTGTCAAATCAATGAGCTGCAATGGATTTTTCATTTTTTTGGGAAAAGAAAAAATCACTTGGTGATGATGACACTGGCAAAATTCCATCAATATACCATAATAACATCTAGGTGATAATTATTACTTTACGATAACCCCTTGCACTTCTCCATCTTACATTTTGGCCACTTCTGGCACAACCTGTAACAAAAATAAAGGACACAATGAACTGATTTTCTAAACATCATGCACTTAGGGATTAATGATGACACTCACAAAATTTCATCAATATACCATAATAACATCCTGGTGATAATTATTACTTTACGATAACCCCTCGTAATTCTGAACCCACCAACCAACAAAGTTTGAGTGATGATTTTAGAATCTTGGTTACTGATACTACCTCTATTCAGATTGTTATTCTGCACAGCTTTTATATGACTCTTCAAGGCCTTTTGTTATTTTTGTATTGTTTGTTTATGTTATTGTTATAAAACAAATAAAATATTCAAATAAAAATATAATAAAATTCAATTCCATTCCTGGAAGTGCCAAGTACTACATGTTTGGTTTACAAAGCAATTGGGGAAACAGAAATATATTCCTCAGTAAAATCTATGAAATTAATGGGAGTGGGGCGGGGGGGGGGGGGAAGAGAAGAATACCTGCAATGAATAATTTAACTGTTCTGCCCAAGGCCAGTAAGGAGTGTGCAAGTGCCTTCATTACTACTAGGAATTACTTACCTTTCCTATTTTTAAAACTTGTTTTAGCCTTGAATAGAACTTGCTGGCCTCCCTTTTATTTTAGATACTTGTAACAATTCAGTGCCTCCAGTCGAGTTAAGAAAAATTCAAACCATATGCATAATGCTGTGCTCCCAGAATCACCAAAAGCAGAATTCTATTAGCTTTTTTTTTTAAGTGAACATTAATGACATTTCCCCTCAGGAGCAAAGGGAATGTGATTAAAAGCACTTTTTTTCCTCTTCTTTAAGTAAATACTAAAATAAATACAAATCTCCAAATCTCTCTGTCTTGTAAGAAAGAATAAAAAGCAAGCTAGGTCTTATGTTAATGAGAATTAAGAGTGAGGGAAAAGAAAGAGAGACAGACAGATAAGAGAGGAAAGGAAAGCAATGTTCAGGCTGTTATGTAAAGGGACTGAGATTTCATAATTGCCGACATTGGAGTATTTGATTTTAATAGTCAGAGATAAACCATCAAACACAGGCTTTATGTCCAACAAATAAATAAACAAACAAACATATATTACATCCAATTCTATTTGGCTTAGTAGAACTTGCAAAGGGATTAGGCAGGGAGGTAGATAAAAGGCTTGGTGAGTTATGCATAAGAATACATTAGACAAACGAACAGTAAGGCACTTACTGAGGCAAGCATAAATCCTTTCTGTCCACAACAATAATGCAGTGTTTACTTCAGATGTCATGCACTAGACATTTCACACATTAGGGGAACCACTCATCACTAGTACTCTCACAAATAGAGTCAGGATGATACAGTTGTCCTGGTAGGGATTTCCCAAATTGTGTTCTCCAACCAGCCAGTATGTTCCACAAAATCCAGCTGACACAGGCAGATAGACTGAGATGTTAAAAGTGGTAGTATGTGAGTCAGACAGATGAGTAAAACTGAAAGATACCCTCAACTATAAAAATGAAGCACACCTACAATAATCTAGTTTAGCCCTCTCTGCAACAGGGAAATGTTGATATGGGAGGGAGGGATATGATGCACCATGGCACCCAAGAACATCTGAATGCAGCATAGGGATGTAATTTTTCACTAATGTCATTCTCAAAGGAAGCAATATATAATTTCAGCTATTTTCTTCCTGCTGCAAGAAAGTCTTTGGAAACTATACAGTTATCTAAAGTCTGAGACTTATTCTGCACAAAATGTGCAATTTTTTTCATTAAAAACACTGTTTACACAGAAATTCATTTTTTGCACAGATAACTCAGCAGAGAATGCGCTTCCCTGTGCAAAAAAATTACACGCAAATTTCACACAGAGCAGGTCCTGAACTGAAAAGATTCTCATCAGTCCAGGATCCTTCTCCCTTGGGTTTCCCAATATTCCAGAGGCACATTTTTTGAATATTTTCAAATATTCTTTCCTATTTGACCCAATGCAGTTGCAGTGTTAACAAGAAGCCACCATTTATTCAAGGTGTCTGGCCACTACGCTAAATTGCTTATTAAACCAAAATGCAAGATATCTGTCATGTTGTTGTTGTTGCTGCTGCTGCTGCTGCTGTTTTTGTGTCTTCGAATCATTTCCAACTTATGGCAACCCTAAGGCAGGAACCTATCATAATGTTTTCTTGGCACATTTCTTTGGGGGGGGGGTTTACAATTGCCATTCTCTTAGGCTGAGAGGGTGTGCCTTGTCCAAGGTCACCCAGTGGGTTTACATGGCCAAGCAGGATTTGAACCCTGTTCTTCAGAGTCCTAGTCAAACACTCAAACCACTATGCCAGGCTGGCTCTCATATTTGTTGCAATGCACATGTTAAAAAGAGCCAGTGAATACACACGCATGTCATCAGACAGCCTGCTGTTTCCCAACCCCATCCTCCATGCAAAAAAGCAAAAACATATCACATTAGCACTTTATGTGGAGGAATCACTGCTGATAGAGGGGAAGAAAAGGATTTAGTAAAAATAGAAATGACAAGCTACATCATGCCTTCAAGTTATAGCATAGGCATCTGGGCTGTCCTCAGTTCACCTTGGCTCTACCATTGATGGTGCTTCTTGCAGCGACATTTCCTCAAGCAGAGAAACAGGGCAAGACTTAGATCCCATAACTTTATGCCATGCGGAAGAGTGAGCCTCACAGCCTCAACTTTGAACAACCCCAGGCACTGCCCAAATACAACAGGTTTTTGCTTTAGCCTTGATTTTTACATTAGGCTCCTCTCTGCACAAAATGATTCTTCCACTTCAATTTAACAGACCAAAATTCAAATCCTGCTTCCATAGTATAACGCCAATTGTAGGAAAAGAAGTAACATAAATATACATGGCTGCAGTAAACTTAGCACAAGTCACATGCAGTGTAAGAGCTGTCCCTTCCTTTGAAAGATGAATCAGGCCTAAAAGTTTATGTTGAATCTTATTAGCCAGGCTCAACTTTTTTTATAAAAAAAAATGTAGCCTATGCTTCTTTCAACACACAGATCTGATCACTTTTGGTCATATAGCTATCTGTGCTTAATTCACAGTGCTGGGATACCACTCCCCCCTTGAGCAAATAGGACACAACATGATGCCTGGAGTTCTTCTAGTTCAGGGGTAGGCAACCTTTCCCCTTTAAGGGCCGAGGGACTTCAGCTCCCAGAAGCCTCAGCCATGTTGGCCAATAGTCCCATGTTGGCCAATAGCTCCTGGGATTCTGGAAGCTGAAGTCCCTCAGGTCTTAAAGGGGAAAGGTTGCCTACCCCTGAACTGGAGGATGGCATGTTCTCACCTCTGAAACAAACAATGGTTTGGCCAAGGCTGTCAAAAAGCCACAGTAGAAGGGAAATTCAAAACAGAGGATGTCTCCTGGCCAGAATATCCAGCTCTCTGACAAAAGGATACATTAGCCATACCCTAATAGGGTATAATGGTACTCAGGGTGGCAGTGCTGGATGAAACATGGTCAATGTGGACATTCCTTTCTGCTAAAGGCACTTGGAGACTGGAGGAGACCATGACAGCAACTGCTTTACGTTAATGTCACAATGTAGCAAGGAATTACTGGTGAAAAACTATGCCATACAAAACCTGCTGCACCCAATTTACACATTCAAAACTGGGAGCTCCATTTGCACAGTCATCTCCATGCATTTATACTATAAACAGACCAGGAAAGCAGGCTGGAATCTGCACACTCTAGTATGCAGATTCTAGTGTGCTATCCTGGTCTGCCTGTAGTATAAATGCACGGGGATGACTTTACAAATCTAGTAGCAAAAATGAAGGTATTCTAAAGTTTGTGGCAGAGCAGCAACAATTAAGCTAACCTGCTCTTCTCAAGTGGAGAAGATGCTGCCCTATCAGCAGGATTCAAGTAAGGTTCAATTGCCAGTCCAGTGAGCATCTGTATGTAAAACAGTTGATGAGGAAATCACCTTACACAAATCTGTTGCCTTGCAAAAATTATTATCACTGTGTACTTGGAAGTTTCTTTGTTCCCCCGATTTCCTGTGTCAGGTACTTGGCAGCTAGTTTATATCATGTTGCGTAGTAATCCTGTTGCAAATTCAGTCATATTTACACACACACAGGATGGGATGGGCTTACAGGTGACCACATGAAGAAGCAATACAGAACAGAATTTGACAGTTTTGTCCATTATTGTTGTTGTTGTTGTTGTTTATTTCTAGAGCACTGTCGGTGTACACAGAGCTGTACAAAAGACAATATACCTGAAGAAGAATTTATTTGGTGCTAACTAATATATTAAGCAGCTCTTTTCATTCTGCCTTTTAATCCTGTGGGTTCTTCAGAGAGAAGAATTCAAATGCTTAAAAGCAACTCTTTTCCAACAGCAGTGGGCAGGGTATCTCCACCAGCCTGATTCAGGGCCTTTGCAGACTGCCAGAAATAATGCAGCTTGAGGCCACTTTTAAACTAGTATAGAGTGGCCTAGGCTGCATCTGCATTGCAGAAATAATCTACTTTGATAATGCTCTAACTGTCATGGTTCAGTGCTAGGGAATCATGGGAATTGTATTTTTTTCTGAGACATTGAGCCTTCTCTGTCAGAGAGCTCTGGTGCCACAATAAACTACAGATCCCATGATTCCCTAGCACTGAACCAGGGCAGTTAAAGTGACTTCAAGCTGCATTATTTCTGGCAGTCTGCAAAGGCCCTCAGTTAGTAGTGGAGTGGTTTACCACTGGGTTAGCCATTTTAAATCTTTTTACACACTTTTGATCGACAAAATAGAACTTGCAGAACCTTGAGTTTCAGCAACATGAGCTTAGGGGGAGAGGCAGGGAGCTGGATCCCTCACACACAGAGATTCAATAGGAAGTTAACTGAAGTGATCATGAGGCACAATTTGTGAATGTTAGACATTGTCACGCAGAGGCCACAAAGCTAAGGTTTAGGTCACAGACACACAAGTCAAGTGCATAAATGCCTTCCACATGCCCCAGATTTGGGGAGGGAGAGAAATAAAGAAAAGTCTTTTAATAATTAAAAAATGATTAACAAGTACACTGCTCTGAACAATTTGTCATTTTAGATAGACATGCCTAGTTCAACAGCAGTTCACTCAAAATACTGTGACCAATCAGATTTATTTATAGGTATAAACTATAAAGGCTTTTGAATGTTGTTTAAAGTTTAATACAGGTGATATGGAAAGGGAAGCAAAATACACATACAAAAAGAAAAAGAGAGGCCCCATATTAATCTTAAAGCTACACTCCAAGACTAGAAAAAGCCAAAGATGGGCAGAGGTGTAAAAACAAGAAAGGGGAGATGAAAGAGAAAGAGACATAATGTATGCATAAGAATGCCCTGGCTGGAGTCAACCATTTCCATACTGAATTTTAATCTGTCCCCACCATTTTCTCAGGGAAGAAAGGACAGATGAGAGAAAACTGTGCAGAAATCACCTTGAAGTCTCCACCAAGGTGTTCACCTGTTCATAAATAAATTCCCCTATACAGATGTTCACTTGACAAGGGAAGTAGGCTGGGCCATCAGCTCCAGACATGGTAGAAACAGCATGGCCCAAAATTGCACATATTCTCTCTCTCTCTCTCTCTCTCTCTCTCTCTCTCTCTCTCTCTCTCTCTCTCTCACACACACACACACACACAGTTGTTGCTGCTAAGTGCTTTTGAGACAACCCTGACTCATGGCAACCCCATGGATGAGATATCTGCAAGATGTCTATTCTCCACTGCTCTGCTTTGGTCGTGCAAATTTATGAGGGGGCATCATAAAGTACCATAATAATTATCACCTAGGAGTTGTTATGCTATATTGATGAAATTTTGTCAGTATTATCATTGGTCCCCAAGTGCATTATGTTGAGAAAATCAGCTCTTTATGTCCTTTATTTTTGTTACAGATTGTGCCAGAAGTGACTAAAGTGTAAGATGGAGAAGACTCACAGTATGATAAAAGTTCCTGCATTTGAAGGGTAATAGTGTCCGGATGAGATGATGGTAGTTTATGGAAATGATTGCCCATCTTATGACACTATTGTGAGGTGGAAAAGGAATTTCCAAACTGGTCACATGTCCCTCACAGACAAGCCAAGACCTGGAAGACCATCACTGATGGACGATGTGGCCACAGTGAAGAAAGTGGAGTGTTTAATCCTGGAAGACAGATGAGTAACCATCCAAATGATCTCAGTTATGGTAGTGTGTGGGAAATTATTCATTATGAACTGCACATCTAAAGTGTCTGCACACTGGGTTCCACATTTGCTAACCCCTTTCCAGAAATAAACATGGCATGACCTTTCAAGACAGATGTTGATGTTGTCAGAACAGGATGAATAGGATTTTTTTGGTTGTCTGGTAACCATGGATGAATCTTGGATCTATCAGTATGATCCAGAGACCAAAACGATGAGCATGGAATAGAAGCATGCCAATTCCCCTCCCCCTAAAAAGGCAAAGGTGCAAAAGTCAGCAAGGAAGTTCATGCTCTCAGTTTTTGGGACTGTCATGGAGTCATTCTCAGAGATTACCTTGCAAAGGTACAAACCATCACTGGCACATACTACAGCAATCTTCTGGACAAGTTGCGAAATGCTCTGAAAAAGAAACACTGTAGTATGTTCTCCAGAGGCATTCATCTCCTAGCTGACAATACACCAGCTCACTCATCTCAAGTTGCAGTAAAGAAAGCAAGGGCATGTGGCTCTGAGATCTTGCAGCATCTACCTTATTCTCCCGAACTCACACCAAGTGACTTTTTCTTGTTCCCAGAAATGAAAAATCCATTGCGGGGTCACCGATTTGACAACACAAATGACGTCATTCATGAAGTGGAAGAGTGGTTTAAGGTGCAATCTGCAAACTTCTATAATAATGGTATTTGGAGGGTCAATCAACACTGGGAAAATGTGTAAATCTGGATGGTGACTACATAGAGATAAGTTAACAACTACTATTCAAAACAAACTTTCTGTGAATTTTTTTTAAAGGTGATAATTAAAACTTTACAATACCCCCTCTCAGTCTCGAGACCTTCCCGATTGAGTCTATTCATCTGGGTTGTAGTTTTCCTCTCTTTATATATCCCTCCACCTTTCCTAGCATTATTGTCTTTTCTAATGAATCATGCCTACTAATGATCTGACCAAAGTGCAACAACCTCAATTTGATCTTAGATTCTAAGGAGATTTTAGGCTTGTTCTGTTCAAAGACCCATTTGTTTGTCTTTTTGGCTGCCCACAGTATCTTCACCACTCTTTTCCAGCACCATATCTCAAATGAATCGATTTTCTTTTTATCTGCCTTCTTTA